GAAAGTACCTGGAATTTATAATTAGAAAGGTATTGTAACAGATCACTGAGCAGCGCAACAACTCCTTTGCTTGTAATCAGCCTATAAATCAGATGCTACCTACATTATCAATAAAAATGTATCTTACAGGAATATGACACCGATTTTAGAGCATGTTTCAAACGAAAGGAACGGCTGTAACCGTGTCTGAGTATTGCGATTATCAAATTACCTGACGAATACTTTCCTTTTTCAGCTTTCACTCTCTTTCGAATCAAAATTGTTACAATTTACGAAAAGATCTGAACTCACCAAGAAAGTGCACGGAACCACGGAAAATCATACATCCGGTAAACCGCTAGGCCGATGCTAATAATTTCATGGAAGCATTTGAACTGTATAGCAAACACCTAAAAAACATTTCACAGAACAAGGTCAAATACGATGAAAAGAACTTACCAAAGCCATGAGCCACGTCGGTCCCCTGCTAACAATGAACGAAAACAGAGATACCATGATTATGGTGAAAACGCCGCGAACTACCCAATTTCGCCATCTTAATTACATCAATAGAAGCCTACAAATTGAAGAAAAGATATTGGGTTACCTCGCTGGAAGGGAAGCAAGAAGTGAGTCCATTAATTCTCCCATACTACCGGTATCTTGCGGAATCACTTTGGTAAACTTTGATACTCTAAAATGCAGATTGTGGCTGTAGTATACAATGATATCACAGATAGCATAAGCACTCGAAAAAGCCCGATGTTAAATCTCAGAAAGTATAGGAAAAAAACTAAAACACCACAAAACACAAGATCTAAGTGCATCTCTAAAAAACTTCCTGATTCTATGCTATTGTCGTCTCTTGTCATTGATTTGACACATTCTTACCCTCAAGGTAGTCCTAGAGTTTCGATGAATACAAACACCCTTATCATAAGTACCAAATTTAGACGCCTGTCGATCGTGAGATTAAGCCAGATGCTAAGGCATTTTAGCTCGCTAATTAGTTCAAAACTGCTTTCGTATTATCGTAACAACCAATAACAAGGACTATCTGTAGAATTATGGCAGACTAACATAGTCATTGCCCTGAAGGGCAGGACATACTTCACGCGATTTCAATCGCGATGCGATTTGGCCATA